AAGGAAGGAAGGAAGGAAGGAAGGAAGGAAGGAAGGAAGGAAGGAAGGAAGGAAAAGAGATCATCATTGTCTGCCCCCTGTGAACTCCACTGAGTTCCAGTTCTGCAATGCAGCAGCAGCAGCAGCTCGGGGACACTGGCCCAGGTGCAGGCTCCTGAACCGCTGCATCCACTGCTCACTCCATCTCTCGGTTCAGTTTCAGTGTTGCCTCATGTGTCTGCATCTCCCTTCCCAGGGACTGCACCTTCACAAAGAGCACACTCCACGGCTAGCCAGCATTTTCTGTCCAGTTGAATAGGTGTCTTCTACGTCTCTTGTTGCTTCTACCTTGGTTCACCAGTTCTATACACAGCCCCAGACCCTATATCAATGACGGTTCTTCAGCTATTGGAGTACAGGTATCATTCTTCAAGTTTGTCATACGGCTGACGGCCATAGACCTGCTTTTTCCGATAGCTAATTCTATGTGCTTTATGCCGTAAAACAGAAATCTTTCTTACATCTCTTCTCTTCCCATACCTCCTCTACCGCAGGAGGGATTCCTGTGGCTAACAGGGGCTGTGGGAGGAAACAAAGTGGTCACAGAATAACAATTTGAAACCTAGGGTTATGACCCTGCCCTTTATCTGTCCTATAATTCTTGCCCTCCCTGTGTTCTCCCAGCCTCAGTTTTCTTGTCCACACTATATAGGCAGGTTTGGCGGTGCATACAGATTAGCATAATGTCTGGCTATTGGACAGTATGTGTTTCCATGGCACAGTGGGTATTTCCCGAGTAGTAACAGATTGTGCTACGACAAGCCAATTTTAAGAACATGAAGCTTCTTTTTTTAACTCTGAATAATTGTGGAAATTATATTTCTTTAATGGCGTACCCGTTCTGGACCATGTTTTGGCAAAGGACTAGATCGTTCTGAAGAAGCAGAGGAAACACAAGCAGGCTCCATGAAAGAAATTACATGAAACATTCCTTCAAACAACCATAGAGAGCCATGTGTAGAGAGCCATGTGTGAACCCTGCACTATTCCCAATTAAGGATCTCGAGTTACATTTAAAAAAAAAAAAAAAAAAGACACAAGGCAGCCCCTAATGTCTTCTCGGGAGTAGATGTAAGGTGAGAAAACAAAAGGAAATGGAAAACTAGGCTGTGCAGGCACGGTGTCTCACACCTTTTATCCTAGCATTAGGAAAGTTAAACAAGAGGACTGCTGTGGATTTGCAGCCATCCTGGGCTATGCATAGTGAGATTCTGTCTCAAGAACTGCATGCCTAATGAAAGAAGCTAACATGGGAGTCATAAGTACTGTGCGTAAATATTAAGGCAGAAAAGGGAATCTCAAAGATGCAATGACTCTGCAAGTGGAGATTTAAATACTGATAGAAAACTCTCTGATACGTTAAGAATTTACCAGAGTCCTGAAGCTGGGAAGGACACACACCCCACCCCTAAAACAAATCTCAGGTTTTCTGTATCTTCTCATCACAGTGCCATGTTAGGTGTCAAGGTCAACTGGGGAGTGCCTATGAGTCTTTCCAGGCACAGGTGGGGATGGAAGAGTTAAACATCTTAGTTTGGGTGGCCAACAGTAGGAGGACCTGTTGCATCTTGTCCTCACAGTGGCCTTAGGAAAAAGGATACCCTCCATTCGTATCTGAGAACACGGAACGGAGGCCTACAAGCTGGAAAGTTGCATAAGCTGGCAGAGCGCCAGAACCAAGTCTCCAGCCAGATTCATGTGCTCCAAGCAGGTGCCAACACTCACAATACTTTAGGGTACACACACTACTCTAAACTGGTGATGTTTTGGAGACCAAAATAAGTGAACTGAATTTCATAAGCAGAGCAGGAGACACCCCCGTCCCCAACCCAAGCCTTCATGCGATGAGCTACATGAAGAGCTGACTTCCTCTGCAGAAATGGCAATCTTCATTTAACCTAGCAAAAATACCATCACGGATAATAACCAGAAAAACAAAACAAAAATGTGTGCTCTTGTTTTCTTTCCAGCTTCTTGCCCATCAAGACAGGAATGCTTTTAGCTGACTACCTGGGAATCTTTCATGTGATGGATGGCTTCTCTGGCCAAAAGAAGAAAGCTTAATGATGTTGTCATCCATTGTTGCATCAGGCTTCTTCCAAAGAAGATACGTATTTCCTTCCAACAGAACCCAAAGACAAATACTACCCATATTCCACTGTGGACCATAGTGTCCTTCCAGTGTCATTTAAATGCAATTTTACTGTTTTCTTTTTTGTTGAGTGTTTTTGTTTGTTTGTTTGTTTGTTTGTTCTTTAAAAAATAAAAATAGCTCTTTTGTCATTTCCATTTCAATAATTGTAACAGTGAAAGTATTTACAGGCAAACAACAAAAATTGATACAGCAGGTTCTATTTATATATATTTGTATGTTCACATACATATGTATATATATATGTAACAAATACAATCAAAGAGGGCTGCCATGGGAAGAGCTGAAAGGAGGAAAGGTGGAGGAGTGATATAATTCCATTTCAATTAAAAACATTTTTAAAATAACACACAAAAAATGTTAATTAAAGGAAAAAGAAGTGAGTTCAAATGATGACCTATGTATGGTAGCTCCTATAGGGCAGGTGACTGTTTTCATAGGGCATAGGAGAGGTAGCCAGTGTCTGGCTGCAAGACCTCTCTCAAGAAGACACCAAAAAATGCACGGTTTCTATCACGTTATTCTCAGTTTTGGCTCTTTTGAACCCAAGCCCCTAGTGTGACAAGGGCTTTCTGCTTTAGCTGCTTGAGTTGCTGTGACAACCCTGACAAAAGTAACCTAGGGAAGAAAGTGTTTATCTTGACCCACCGATTGTAAGTACAGTCTGTGGCTGCGGAAGTTGTAGTCCCTGGAGCAGTCAGGGAGGTGAAGTGAATTCTGGGACTCAGCGAGACGTCAGCCATTTATGAAGTCCAGGACCAACTCCCGTGGATTTGTGCTACCCACACTAAGCGTAGGTCTTCCTACCTCAATTAACCTACTCTACGCAGTCCTCACAGGGCAGTCCCTCATAGTTGATCCTGTCAAGGTGACAATACCAACCATCTGTCAGACAAACAGCACTGGAGAGCCTCACCAGGGCTTTCCTGACAGTGACCTTAGTCCAGACTTCCAGATGGGATCGTATTTTTATGGAACACAAGGTCAAAAAACTGCTTGTTTCTTACTCTGAAAATGAAAGTGACCTGGGCTAGATTTGTTGTTCCTGCCCCAAAAGCCACACCCAACAGTTCATTTTGGTGTTTAATTTAATAATTCAAGCTGGGATTCACAGTTGGGTATTTTTCACAGAATGAACAACTTCACTCATCTGCATTCATTAGAGGCACCCTCAGCTCCGAGCTATTGTGTTCTTGAAGTCTAATCACCTGGCAAACTGCTTTCATGCTTTGTAAGTTAACTATAAAAGCAAGATTACGAAACATATGTTAATTACCATATATCCCAGCAACCCCTTCCCAAGCGGCTCAAGCGTCCACCCTGTGGGAGAAACAGGTTCCTTTTTGTATCTTGCCCTCTGGTGGGGCCAGGAGAGTAAGTTATCTTGGCAGACTCAATAAAAGTCCAAATAATCTAGAATTTAAGTATCTCCTAGGGAAGATGCTGTAGGAAGGGTCAGTCATACAGCGTGGGCCCAGGTGCACTACAGACTGGTTGCTCTTGAGTGTTCTTCTTGATCCTAGAACCTGGCGCTGCTCCTTTACATTCAACCTCAAATATCATACCATGGTAGCAAGGATAATTAATATTTATTTTGTCCATCACTAAGCCAAACGCTTCCCACACATCATTTCATTAAGCAAGAACACTCCATCATGCCCTACAGAATTTTAAAAAGGGGGCGGGGAGATTTAGTGTACGCCAAAGAATTCAAAGCACTTCATTTCACACAGGCATCCTCCACTACTGTGGCTGTGTAGTGAGATGATCAAAGACCCCTCAGGACCAACCGACCGATGTTGTAAATCCGTGGCTAACAAGGTTAATTAGGAGAGAAGCACAATATTGCTCCTATACTGCGATTCTAAGAGCATGTGTTCTGGGGCCTGTCTATTTAGTTGAAGAATAAAGAAGAGACTCTTAGAGAATTCAGCAGAACAAAGGTCCAAGACCGAGTGGGCATCCACCACACCATAACAGCATTAACAGCAATTACGTCTAATTGGAATGCATCTCAGCTGGGCTGCAACAAAGGTCTGAAACTCAATTGTGGTTTCATAATATCCATAAAATTGTCTAAACAAATTCAGATTAACTTGAGGCACGTCTATGAGAAGAGACCACATGTAAATTAGAGGTTTCTAGAGGGCGATAAATAACAAGGTGACTCAATGGCCCTAGGGAGCAAGTGTTCCCAGCATATTTCATACAAGTCTCTAGGTGAAACTCAGTCCTAAGAAAGCCATGATCAAGAGCCAAAATCACCTAAACAAGCCTGAAGGAACAGGCTCCAAACTACACTGAGTCCCTAAGCCAGGCTACTCTGCCTTCTGAGGCCTGGTGATGCAGCCCTTGGGATACTTGCTGCTCAAAAAACCAAGAGGAATTCTCCAGGAAGAAGTAAGGGCGGTTTTATACTGTGATGCTATCTTTAGTTGGTTTGATTTGCCATAACAAAATGCCACAGACGGGGTGGCTTGTCAAGCAGAAATTCATTCCGCAGTTTTGACTCGAGAAGTCTAGGGTAGAGGTGCGAGCTACTTTATTTTCCAGTGAGGGTTGTCTTCTTAACTTTCAGACAGCTCTCTTCTCACTCTGCCCTCACATCGCCTTTCCTTCAAGTGCACGGAAGGAGGAGATTTTTATCTTCCCATAAATAAAAGTACCTTGCCCTAAGAGCCCGTCCTCATGTCCTACTATACACCCGTAGCCTCTTCCTAGTGCCATCACACTGGTAGGCAGAGCCTCAACATATGACAGATGTTCAGGCTGCAGGTACCAAGACAGGAAAGGTCACACCTGACTTGAGAGGCCTGATGCTAAAACTGCCACACCACACCCAGTGAAGCCACAATACGTTATCTGGGAAGCAGAAAAATTAGATGTGTTTTTTTAAAGCCTATATTGTCATCTTCTGAGAGTCAGAACTTGTGACAAACATGATGGAATATTTAGGCCGCTAAACCAAGCCTGACATGGTGCAGGATGCGCTGATTGGAGCCGGTGTGTGATGAGAATGGATGGAGGCCTCTTGTCTAGAGAGGTGGTGTCAGGGCAGGCTGCTTCAGGCCTAGTCTGGTTGTTTTCAGAAATATTGCTTCCCCAACACCTGTATAAAATTCTGTGCATTCACTCACTCCCAACTTGCCGAGTATTTAAACTACCACCGGAGAGATCTTTCGTTAAACATGAAGCCTGTGCTCTGTGGCTGTATCCTGTTTTACTGCCCATTCTTGAAATCTGTCCCAGTTTAGGGAAAACTGTCATGAGACCCCCTGAGGTAGTATAGGGGAAAACTGTATCCACCATTTGCTAATTAACTAACTGCTGCGATAAACCTTGTGGCTGGCAAACAAGTCTTAAGACATAGTGCTTGGGAATGTAAAAAAGAACTTTTATTGGCCTGGTTCAATTGTTGTCTCAAAGGCTTACTACCTCCATCAGCTAACCCTGGGACTAGTTCTAGAAGCTTCTAGCCTCTGTACCATCTAACCTAGGCCTAGAATGTTTTCAGCCTCTGAGACTTACAGCTGAATTAGCTCACCCTTACTTGTTTTTACTTAGCTCTGTGCTGGCTGTTTCAACTCAGCTTTTCTGGCTCAAACTCCTCTTCCAGCTAATTGTTCAATCTGGCTTCTCTCTCAGCCCTGGAATCACTGTGCTTGGCCTCAAACTAACACAGGCAATATCCTCTAACCTCCTGGCTCCTTCTCCTTCTCCGGCTCATTCAGCCTTCACCTAAGTCTAGCTTGCCTAGCTTGTTCTCTCTCTGCAACCTGTCTCTCTATTACTGTCCCAGTAAAAACTGTCTCCCCTCTGGAAAAACTGCCTCTTTTCTCTCATTGTCCCTCAAGTAGCTTACCTTTCCTTTTTTTTTTTTTTCTTTTGAGAGTTGGGTGTATCCTATTCTGTCAAGTCTTTCTCTGATTTGTCACCTTTTCTGCCACTCAATTAGACATCGTTTTCAAACATGAGTGCTTCCTTCTACAAACTAACTTTACCTTCATTGCCTGAGATTAAAGGCATGTACTACCATGCCTGGACCTAAGTTTTTCTTTACATGAAAGTTGCTCCACACCAGGCTGGTCCTGAACTCAGCTCTGCTTGCCTCTGTCTCCTGGATTAAAGGTATATCTGTATTCCACATACACCTAGAAGGTCTTTGGATGTGATATCTTGCCAGAGCAGCCATGTTATGAATTAATATTTCTGTACATCTTCCCCTTCCTATTTAAGCTAAACATTGTACACAGTTTAAATTTTACAATAGAAGCAATTATCAATCCCACAGACTTACCAGTTTGAATGTCCTTATGAAGAGCCACTTAGCCATTGATGTGATAATCCTTCATAATTTCGGTCCTAATCATCTGTCCTTCAGCAACAGACCATTTTAGCATTTTGGCCTTTTCCTCCTGGGCTGTCAGCTGAGCTAGTGAGCCTTTTGGGCTTTTACCACCAGGATGTGAGCTGAGAAGAAGATAAGCTAGATGCTTTCTCTGCCTAAGCTAGCAGGTTTTTATATACATACCCCCTCACACACACACCCCCAATAAAAGCAAAGGGAAGATACTTACGGGGCAATGAGAGAGAGAGAGAAGAGGCAGTGTTTACCAGGCAGATTGCCATTCACTGCTTAAAAGAGTAATTCAGATGCCACTTGTGCCCAATTCTCAATATTTGTAGTAGTTGAATTGTATAAAGCTGTATAAACTTTGAATTAGTGAGGACTGAAGAAATGTTTCTAGGGAAAATACAAAACACAATTCCAGCAACGCCCCCCGGTCATGTGTCTATCATTCTATTAATACACAAATGAACCTTGTGTGTATTTCTCTTTAAAGAGCTCTAGCTAAAGACTGCACAGCTTGGGGCTACAGAACCAAGGCATGGCACAGCCTCCCTGCACGGAGCGACATGAAACAACACTTCAGTACTATACTTAGAGGCCATTCTAAACCTCAAAATCACCAGAAAG